TTTAATTCAACTGTTCTGGGGTAGCTCGAACGCACCCTCCCTGAGTGACTGGAAGAGATTGGTCGATCAGGCATTGCCCCTCTATAAACTTACATATGAGCAGCGAGGCAACCCGATGCGTTGTGCACGCATCTGGGATCCGTGGCTGTCCTCTTCTAACACAACTGTGGATATGAGGTGAGGTTCTAAAGTCATTATCATCTTTTAGACTAAAGGCCTTATTTGTACTCCTGGAAGTGTTTCATACCCTATTGATTACTAGTGGCTGCGTCCAATTTCCCACACTGTATACTGCCTGTGTTTGGAGGTTAGCTCCCAGGTACTGGAATATGTAACCTTATAAACTGTGAAATGTATGTGTGTATCACATCATTTACCCTGGGTTATGTTGAACCGGTTGTTGTATGTGTTGACTGTATGGTATAGATGTATTTTGTATGTGTCTATGACACGGAAAAAAGAAAGACTCAATAAAAAGTATCTTTAAAAAAAATATATGTATTACGGAAAATTGTTATCATACTTACCGTAATGTTCTTTTCCTGGCTCATCCTCATGTCGGCACACCTACGGGTTAGCTCCACCCCTCTGACCCACAGGACCACCCTTAACCAAGCTAATAAAACGGAGATCCTCTCCCCCAGTACCTGTCCAATAACAAGATGAGCGACAGGTCCAGCAGGGAAGGGAACGTATGCCGACATGAGGATGAGCCAGGAAAATAAAATTACAGTAAGTCTGATAACAATTTTCCGTATTCTTGGCTCGCCTCATGTTGGCATACCTATGGGACTAACCACCAAACAGGCAGGAAATACCTTCTAAACACAAAAAAATCCCAATAACGAAATGCTGCAAACATAGAAACATTTTTTTTGACAAGGCAGACTAAAGGACTGCAGACCCAAATGTGGCCAGTTTGGCTGCCACCACTTCCAAGTTGTGGTGTCTGATAAATGTGTTCTGCGAACTCCACCTAGCTGTCTTGCATATGTCTTCTATCGAGACCCTGGTGTATGAGGCCCAGGACATTGCCACTCCATCGTTGAGTGGACCTGCACTTCTGCTGGAGGAGTAAGACCCTGTTTCACATATGCTGCTTTGATGATGGCTTGAATCCATATCGAGAAGATTCTTGGTGGTGCCTCAAAACCTTTTTTGGAGCCCTTAGGTAACACGAACAGTCTATCTGATTTCCGAAAAACACCAGTGCTTTTAGGATACTCCCTTATGAGTTAGACTAAATCCAAAGCGGGCAATAAGTCCGACTCCGAGGATTGTGCCAGACTTTTAAAACCTGGTAGAATAATGTCCCAATCTGAATGGAAAGTAGAAGCAACTTTTGACCCAAAATCCGTAGATGCCCACAAGATAACTTTATCATCCAATAGAACACAAAAAGGCTCTTTGTACGAAAGGGCCGCTACTTCAAATACTCTCTTCACTGAGGTTATGCCAATCAGAAAAGTGATTTTTGCTCCAGGAACCATAAGGTGCTCTGAGATAGAGGATGATATGGAGGAGCTGCTAAGCCTTCCTCACAGGTTGTAATTTCAGAGCTGCTCTCATGAATCTCCGCAATAGAGGATCGTCTGCCCATTTGATTCCCATAAATGCTGACAAGGCCGAGATCTGCACTCTTAATGAGTTGTAGGCTAGCCCAGCGCCCAAGGCCGACTGTAAAAACCCCAGAACATAAGGCAGTTCTGCCTGCAATGGCGAGGAATGATTTTTGTCTGCAAAAGTCAGAAATCTGTTTCAAATTCTGGAGTAAGTAGTATTAGTTGATGGTCCTCTAGACTGCATCAAGGTATCGATCACCTTGGTAGACAAGCCCTGACTGCTGCTAGATGTAGCTTCTTGGGATTGGGGGGTTGCTAATGACCTTGTAACAGTAGATCCTCCTGTCCAGAAAGAATCATGGGTGTTCTACCGCATTCTGTTGTAAGAGCGGGAACCATGGCCTCTTTGGCCAAAATGGTAGGTTCACAATAACCGTTCCCCCTTCCTGCCGTATCTTCTGCAGTACCTTGAGGGCCAATGGTAACGGCAGGAATAGATAGGCTAGTGGAAAGTCCCATGTTATGGAGAACAAATCCTGTGTCACTGATTCCTGGCAGCCTTGTCTCAAGACAAAATGGGGCACCTTCGCATTCTGTGGTGTTGCCATCAGGTCGATAAACAGGGTACCCCACGTCTGGAAAACATGCCTCAGGTACTTTGAATTCAGCTCCCATTCGCTGTTGTTTGGGAAAACTCTGCTTAAGCGGTCTGCCAGTATGTTTACACTCCTGGCAGGTAGACTGCTGTCAATGCCTGAACATGTTGCTCTGCCCATGAAAAAATGTTGTTTGCGAAGCATAGCGGAGGTAAACTCCTGGTCCCCCTTGTCTCATGATACAGCTGTTTTGTTGGCCATCCTTATCCTGACCTGTTTGTGCCGTAGGATAGGTTGGAAGGCCCGCAGGACTAGCGAGGGCGCTTTCAATTCCAACCAATTCGACTGTGGTGTCACCAGGCCTTTCCATCGACTCTGAATCTGATATTCCAAGCAATGTGCTCCCCATCCTTGGAGGCTGGCATCTGTAGTAATTGTGATCCAGGAACCTAGACCCAGGGGCATTCCCAGAGAGAGGCACGGAGAGTCTATCCACCAGGACAAGTTGCTCCTCATTGCTGAGGACACAGTGATCTTCTGAGACAACGCAGTCCAGTTCCATTCCTGGAGGAAACAAGATTGTAACTGGCACATGTGCCACCTCGCCCAAGGCACCACGGGAATGCATGAGGTCATCATATCGAGAAGCACCATGCAGTCACTGGCCTGCAACACAGGTAAGCTGATGACTCTGCTGACACAGGCGTCAATCTCCCTTCTTCGGCAATCTGGGAGGAATCCCCTCGCTAGATAAGAGTCTAGGACTACCCCCAAGTACTCCATCCTTTGTGCTGGGATTAGTTGACTTTTCTTTAGATTGATTAACCATCTGAAGCGGAGCAAGGTTGCCAAAACGAGCTTGCGATGGATAATAATAGACTGCTTCAACTTCCCCAAGGATGACAAGGATGTTGTCAAGGTAATGAAAGACTTTGACTCCACAAAGCCGAAGGAGCACTATGACTGCTACCACCATTTTGGAAAAGGTCCGTGGGGCTGTGGAGAGACCAAACGGGTGGGCATAAAACTGGAAATGCTGTCCTGCTACCGCAAACCGCAGGTATTCCTGATGTTGCTCCGATATTGGAACATGGAGGTATGCATCTTCCAAATCTATGGAGATCATCCATTCCTCCGCCTGAACTACAGAAATGATCGTCTGTACCGAGGGCTTTTTGGCGAGAAAAATAGGGGAATAGAAACCTTGACCCCATTCCTCCTTTGGTACCAGAACAACAGCTTTCTTCACAAACAATTCCGCAACATAATCGAGAAGTATTATGCTTGCCTGAAGAAGGAGCCACTTGGTTCCGAAACATCGCTATAAATGTGACACTATCCCAGTCAATAAAAGGTATTGCCTTTCCATCAAGTTGGAGTGCGAGTAACCATTTATCGATTTTATAAATCGAGAAGTAATCTTCTTTTCAACCGCTCCTGCATCTACCACTGGTGGTGTATCCCAAAAAGCTGTGTCAGCCACGTTCAAGGGATAAAGTTTCAGAAAACGATTCTGAAAATTCAGTTTCTTGTCCGGATGTTTCCATTCTTCTTCAATTAGATCTTTAACCTCCGGCATGACGGGGAAAGTAGGGCCTTCTTTTTTTAGGCCTGGGAGGTACTTAGCTACCTTTTTAGGATGATCAATCCCCTCCCAATCAATGGCCTCCTTAATTGCCACGATGAACGGTATAATAAGGCTGAAGTCAAACGAATGTAAGTCCTGTCCGTCCGGGGCAGGTGTACCATCTGAAATGATCTCACCCTCATCTGAGAGCTCTGCAGGTCTAGATGACCTTGATACCTCAGTTGTGCTCCGAGAAGAAAATGCCACCGAAGGAAGCAGATCCTGTAGGCTGTCCTGTACGGCTTGCTGTATGTAAGACTTTATTTCAAGTGAATCCGCTTCCCTGTCCCTGGCCACCTCTTTAAGACATTCTCAGCACACAATTTGGCTGGTAAGGCCGTGAGGAACATGACCAACATGATCCTGGTGGAAAGTGCGGACTCTTGCCATGGAGGGAAGTAGACCCGTGATCTGTTTTGTGACGATGTCTGTGGCCCCCTGGAGAACGCTCAACTACGGAAACTGATTGGGCCAGGAGGGGGGTGTGTGGGTCTCAGTTTGGGTGAACTGGTTCTCAACAAGCCCTAGCTCATCACTAATAACTAAAAAGCATAGGCACAGTATCCAGGGTACACACTGCCAGAACTCACAAATACGTTTTTTTTATATCACTTAAAGTATGTTGAAGTATGTGAAAGTAATGTTGTGGTATGTGCTCTTGAAACAGCATGGGGGTTTTTCTATTTCATCTATTACTATAGTAATGAGATTCTTGTTGCATTTGTTTGATGTATTTCTGGATGGTGGCGAATGGGATAAATACAGCCATCCTTGATGAGCATTAACGATGTGCAGGGATTGGGGGAGAAGTGGTGTTATGAAGTCAGTTAGCTTGAGTTTGCCCAAGTCTGCCCAATCAGTTGTGTCAGGGGAGTCAGCTAATGAGCATGTGCTAACATGGCAATATTATATGTTGCATTCTAGGTGGCCACACTAACTTATTTGTGCATGAGCACATATACTTTGTAATGTCCATTTGGCAGCATAAAGCACAGCTCTGTCTGACTTTGGCCAGCCTTAATATTATACTGTCACCCCCTATTTCTGAAGCTTTACTAAAAACATTGTTTGCACAAAAGTATTATAACTATACATAAACAACATAACCAGTGACACTTGTATTTAAATAAACCATTCTATACTGTGTTTTTTGCAGTTCAATGTTGTTAAAGTTCATTTTTAATTTTTCAAATTCTCACACTTTTTTTAATATAGTTCATATGATTGCCTGCGTGATGATCCATTTGCACATGACTGGCCATCTCTTCCTCAGCTACCTGGATTCCAATATTCAATGAATGAGCAATGCCGGTTTGATTTTGGTGTGGGTTACATGATGTGTACTGCTGTAAGTATTATCTATTTTCTGTAAAAATTAACCTGCCATTAGCCGCATAGCAAGGATTAACTACAGGGCTAGGGGCCAACATAAAGAAGATAGTCACACGATCCTTGATCCCGCCTCACTGTTGGACTGCTTTTATCCTGGGCTCTGGCAGTTTAGGAACATGAGACATCTTCATGTCTAATTCAAGTGCATTAGAGCTGAGGATGCTGAGAGACATTCCACTGCTGGAGCAGAGGGGAGAGAGGTGAGTGCTGACCGCCTCAGGACTGAGGATCAGGTGAGTATATCATCTTTATTCTGGGTAAACTTGTGCAGTGGTAGGCCCACTGTTCATTATTACAATTCCTGGAATTCCTCTTAAGATGAAGTAAAGAGGGCATACATGGCAAGCCCTGTCCCTCACTCCCCTGCTGCTGCTTCCACCTCTTTGCCACTGTTAATGGCAAACTTGCTAAATAGTACAGCTGAGTCTGTAATTACTGCTGTTTAATATTGATCTTCTGAACAGTGTTTGTGAAGCTAGATTTACTTAGATATACAAAATTGTTACTTTGTATTTACTTGGTTTAAATTCATGTGAAGATCAAAGTAATGGCCTTTGCTCTGCATATGATGTCAGTCAAAGCAACCTCAGGGGTAAACAAACAAAGTTTTTTTTTTTTAATTATTATTATTTTATTTGATAAACATTCTTTACCCGTTATTAACCTATTGGTAAACCTAATCAGCCCCAATGTTATTTTTTGAAAACCATAGTTAAAGCTTTTTCTTTAGTTTTTGTTTGCTATTTTTTTTAGTGCTTGATTAAAAATGTGCAAGAATTAAAAAGAAAACACTTTATTTACATTTTTACCATAATTTCATTATAAATGGGAAAATTACAGAATCCAATACCTTTTATCTCTAGTAGCACCTTTTCAAAAACAACACTGATCAAGGTAGAAAATGTGTGTTTTATTTAGTTTTAGGTCTTTTGGTCTGCAGATTCCATAGAAAATAATGTCTTGCAAAAAATGTAATTCATCTTTAACCACCTGCTGTCCGGCCGTTGTAATTAAACGGCCGGACAGCGGCTTCTTCAGGGCAAATGGGCGTCTTTAGACGTCCTATCCCGTCCCGCACGTGCCCGCCGCTAGGCGGGGCGCACCAGCTGGAAACCGGCTTTGAATGTACACAGCCAGCGATAGCTGCTTACATACAAGCGTTCGGGCGTCTGTAGAGACGCCCAATCGCTTGTAATATGCGGTTGGGTGTGCGCCCCCTCCCTCCGCCGCTACTGCTGGCGATCCCGGGCTCCGCTGTTCCCGGTGTAAGTAAACGAGCTCCGTTTGATCTCCTCTTCTGAATGCAGGCAGTGATGTGTATTACATCACTGACTGCATTCAGTGTCACTCTCCGGTACAGAAACTGGAGAGAAGCTGGTGAAGCAGGTCTCTGTTTCATCAGCTTCTCTGGGGGTCCCTAGGTGACATTAGGGGTCTTAAAGACCCCTGATGTCTCCATAAAGCCGACCTGTCACTGCAAATTGGCTATCACATAGGGAGCTTGTTTGCTCCCTATGTGATAGCAATAAAGTTCAGGGGGGGAGTTTAAAAAAATGTGTTACAAAAAACAATAAATAAAAAATCACATATCAAAGCAATAAAAAACAATTAAAGTCCACCGCCCCCACATGCACACGCAAACATGCGTCAAGCCCGCCTACGTGCGAAAACACATAATACCTCCATTGCGCCGCACATGTTACATATCGCAGCGAACGTCGGAATGAGAGCAATAATTCTAGGGTCATCAATCACTGATAACACTAAACTGATGAGCGGTACAAGCTTTTAAAGCGTCGGCTTTGGTCAATTTTGAGTATGGTAGTTTTTTGCGATTTAACGGGTGTGCGCAATTTTAAAGCTTGACATGTTTGGTGTCTATTTACCTGGCGTGACCCCGTCTTTTATATTTTACCAAATAATTGGGTAATAATAAATGTTTTATAACATAACGTAGGGAGAACAGGTTTTTTTTCAAATTTGTCGGTACTTTTTTCATGATACAGTAAAAAAAACCTGTAGTGGTGATTAAATACCACCAAAAGAAAGCTCTATCTGTCCCTAAAAAATTGTATAAAATTCATTTCAGTACAGCATTGCATGATGGAATAAATGTCAGTCAAAGTACCGCAGCACTGTACTGAAAAATGGCCAGGGAGGGGGTATAAATACCCTGGTCAGCAAGTGGTTAAAAGAAGGCCTTGTTTACACATATCTGAGAGAGAGACAGAGCTGTGCAAAAGTTTTAGGCATGTGTGTTAATTTCTCCTGTCAAATAGTGATGAGCCGAACAGACCCAAGTTTGGTTTGAATTCGAACTTAGAACATGGATAAAGTTCAAATTCGAACTCAATGCAATTCTATAGGACCCGAACTTTGAAAATTGATTGGCCTCTTTTTGAACAGTCATTGGCCATAAAAAGGGCATGGATTTGGACATGTATCAAAGAAAAAAACACTTAAAAAAACTGTTTTTAAAGGAGCAGTGATTTTAATATCACTTAAAGGGAAACAATAAAAATGAAAAATTCCTTTTACATTTTGTGCCGGGGGGTCCCCTTAAACTGCCTGTAAAGTGGCACGTCTATACAATGCATAGAACCTGCTGCAGCAAAAATGACATTTATAAAGAAAAAAAGGACATTTAAATTGCTGGTAACTGGTTTCCCTTGAATCTTGTAACCAACTGCTTGGGGAGGCAGCCTGTATGAAGAGTATAGAGATGTAAATTTCCAAAATAAACTTGCAAAAAAAAAAAAGAGTATAGAGAGAGATCTGTTGCACTCCTCATAAGAGGGGGAATTTATTAATCGATGTTCACCTCAGTGAAATTGGTGGTAGTCAGTAGTGTCAATAGACACTACTGATAGATATCAATAGATCAAGGCTCATACTTGGTCACGTGCTTCTTGATCAAGTAAGTTTACTTTATAATGTCTCAGAACCATGTTAATCAAGGTAGATGTAGGAAGGGTCACCTGTGATGTGGGCCTAATTAAACTGACCTAGAGAATGTGGGGTAAAAAATAAACACAGACTGCTACCAGCTAGATCACTGGAGCATTAACAAATGAGGGGCTAGCAAAATACCGTATTTTTCGCTCCATAAGACACACCTAGGTTTAGAGGGGAAACAGGCTGCTTTTTTTTAAAGTTGTGCGGCTGTGCATGGCTCCACAAGTTATGTCATCTATACCATCTGCCATATTTTTTTTTTTAAATGCGTGTGTTCGCAGGGGCTGGGGACTTTAATTTTAGGGGGGATTTTTCATTTTAGTTAACTTTTTTAAATTTTTTTGTATTTTACATTTTTTTATTTAACTTACATTTTTTTTTTACATTTTTACATTTTATTTATTTAACTTTATTTTTTAACTTTTAAATTTTTTTAATTTTTAATTTTGTTTAATTTTATTTTTTTAAACTCCCCTCGCGCGTACAGGAGAGGAGCGCAGAGGGGTGAGTAGACAGCACGGGTTAAGCTCACAGACTGTCGGAGGTTTCTCCTTACATTCTGTAATTGGCTGCCTGTCCCCTCTGACACAGATCGCTGCAGCCGATTACAGCCTGTAGGGAGAAACCACTGATAGTCTGTGAGGCTGCAGCGGAGAGAAAGGGATGGGCACAGACTGTGCTGCCTTGCACTAGGTACACTGTCAGCCACCCGCCTCAGCTCTCACACACACATCACCCTGCAGGAGTCGCTGAACGCGTGTGTGTGTGACAGCTGGTGGAAATATCCGCTCCATAAAACGCACGGACATTTTTGCCCGCCTTTTGGGGGCAAAAAAAGTGCGTCTTACGGAGCAAAAAATACGGTATGTCCTGCTAGCAAGGGGAGTGTGGTTTAAAATCACAGAGCTGTTGCTCCACTGTGATCCACTGTGAAGGTGATATATAAAATCACTAATAGTTACCCGAAGAGTGGTACATCAGTCTCTGTACAGAGGAGCTGACACTCTAATGTCCTCCCACAGTCACACACTATTATTATACATGTATATAGCTCTGACATATACCGCAGTGCTGTACAGAGAACACTGAGCCAGTCACATCACAGTCTCTGTACAGAGGAGCTTGCACTCTAATGTCCCCCCACAGTCACATCATTCTCTGTACAGAGGAGCTTAAACTCCAATGCAGAATGGCACCCCTTGTAGGGGGACTACAAATCCCAGCAATACATTTATACAGCAATGCAGAACAGTATATGAATTGGACTCTGGTCTTAGTGACGCGCTGGACTCCAGTATACACCAAGATGGCAGCGCCCACATGGTCTGGTTCCGCCATCTTGGTGTATACCAAGATATACTCCAAAATGGGGGCATGCACAGAACACACTAGCGGACAATATGGCCGCCGCTTGATCTGAAATTTCTTTGTGCGGTTCCGGATTCGGGGGCTCATTGCCTCTGAATCCAAAACAGCATTAAAATTAGTTTCCTTTGACGAAACAAATAGAAATGTTTTTCCATTTTCATTTGTTTCGTCTGAACCAAATCTGTTTGTCCCGCACATCTATTACACACCACAGCAAACCATATAATCTGACTAGTATACAGCAGATATGCATAAACCATAACACAACATCAAATTACACAGGCTGTAAAATCTAAAAAAAAAAATATAAGAAAAGTAAACAGTCGCCCTAACAACCAATCAGATATTTACATGAACCCAATCTGCCACCATACAGGATACATTTCCTTACCAGTGCCAATAAACGTTAAAAACCAAAAAGTTCTCACCAGGGGCAGATGCTGGCACCATTTTTTCAGTGGGGGGCCCGGGACCAGAACTTGGGTCCCCCAGCCTCGAGCCCTCGTGCAGCCACAGGGGCAGTAGGTTTGCCCTACCTGTATATACAACCCTTCCCCCGCTACCTCTGGGCTCTCGCCTGCATCACACTCAGACTAGGATAGTGATGGTGAATGTTTTTGAACCCGAGTGTTC